ATATTGAAGTTCAAACCTCTAATCACTTCTCCAGTGGTAATATATATATCGTTTTTCTTAATTCCCTTAATGGAAACTAAAGTACCCTCGATCATTTTTAGCATACCATTTTCAATTTTACCAGTAAAGTCATCCTTTTCAAGTCTCCCTACTGAAATTAGATTCTAGACAATTCAGGAATATATCTAACATCCTTTAACGTGTACATAAAACATGTGTCAAATTTTACGTTTATGTCACCAATTTCAGCAATAGTATAGGCAAAGTTATCACACAGCACAACATGCCCAACATTAGATTCATGTAATTTATAAAACCAATTCTTCTCAGACGTCACATGAAAAGATGCACCAGAGTCAAGTATCCACTCATGCATGCAGGAATTAGCAGTTAGATTTAATTCAGCAGTATATGCAATGGGACTTGTAATCATATAAACCTCACCACCATTTATATTGGAAGTAGATGCTAACACATTAACCTCATCTCTCTCCTTAACCTTTAGCTTACTCTTCTCCTTATGACAATCCTTTATAAAATGCCCCTGTGTTTCCACAACCATAGCATTTTCTTGCCTTAGTCCTAGATTTTGATCTAGACCTACCTTTGCTCTTCTTTTTATATCCATTACCACTTGACTCACCACTAGTTTGATATTCAACATGACTATTTTGCCTAAATTGAGTTCTACCGCACATCATATGTACATCACCGTTCCTCTTATCGTGTTTTCCAGCCATAATTTCCATTTTCTTTACTTCTAAGGGAATCTATGACAATTTCAGCTGTCAACGTGTCTCTACCATACTTAATGGCATTCTTAACTTCCCTATAGGAATCAGGAATTGCATTGAGCAAAATTATAGCCTTATAAGTTTCGGACACAGTCTCATCACAATTAACTATATCTTGCACCAATTTGTTAAACACGTCTAAATTGTCATCGAGATCCTTTGAAGGATCCATTTTAAAACTGAAAAAATGTTCGAGCAAGCAAAGTTTATTCGGTATAGACTTGAGCAAATATAAGTCTTCAAATTTTTTCCAAAGTTCTTTAGTAGTTTTCAGTTTATCCACCTTTCTTAAAACGGCGTCAAACAAGTGAAATGATTGAGGTATAAGTAAGCCCATCGGCTTCTTGTCTTTGTTCTTGTGAAAAATCAGTTGAAAAATTGCCTTCAATGGCCTTTGAAACTTTTTATTGGACTAAAATACCCTTCATTTTTTGTTGCCAAATAGCAAATCACCCTTTCCATTAAAAATCCTCAAATCAAAGTTGCGAGTTGTCATCTTTACACAGTAGTTAAAGAGAGCCCAAAACACACAATCAAACCACACAAAGTAGTCCTAGGGTCACAGAGTGTATACACCGTTCTAGATTCCCAGGGTTTCGTAAGACTCGCGGTTTTAGATCAAGGGAATGTTCGAACGGGTAAGGTCACGGTAGTTCGAACGGAATAAGTGAGCAGCGGAAGTAACAATGCAACAAAAGGTACGTCTAGCAGATAACTAGTTTCACGACAGTTGTGTCACTGAGGCTCAAATACTGATTTAACTAAAAGATAAATACTCAATCAAATAATCTAGAGCACATAACCCTAATTCTAGCACAAGCAATGGCAACCCCCAAACCTAATAATCACCACACACGATGATCTGCTAGTGCAAAAATATAAAGGTTTCAGTCAATTTACCAGAGCGGACCTATCTGAGTCAGTAACGTGGAGAGATGCAAATTTGCTGCTTTAGGGCCACCACTATTCGCCCTAAAGGTTCAGCAAATATAGCAGTTCGTTCAGCAACAAATTCAGATTGTAATCAGGGCAGTCCAAAATTTTCTGCACAACTTGAAACACTAAACTAAACACATTAGTACGTTCAGGAAATTAAAATAATTGAAATGGCATGAAAAAATCACGCAGGAGGTCCTCCACGCGCCGCTGCCACACGCCTCACCACCGGAGGCGCCTCGACCTGCTGAGTCCGAATCTGCCCTTAGTTTCTTCTACAGGTCAGCCGTTTGTCCGAAAATAGCAGATGCAGGTTCGGCCCCTTTGAAGAAATCGCGAACCCGCCGCCCTTCTTGGTTAATTTCTTACCGGAGAAGATGACCCACGCTCTGATACCAGTTGTAGGGTGAAATTCCAGCAATAACCAAGGTGATACCGGGCTCAATTTTTACAATATATCGACACAACCTCAATTGATACAACACCCAACTTCACCTCTTTCCTTCCCACCTCCAGTTGCTATATACATATACTCACAAAGAGTCGGCCAAGATGAAGAACAATTTATAGTCCACGAGAAACCACACAGGTTGAAGGGAAGAGACCGAGAATAAAAGTCACAGAAAGAGATAGAGTATTCTTCATAATGGAGGCGTAGAGGAGCCGTAGGTTATAAGCTAAATGAGTGACCAAAAATGGTAAGTTAGGTTCGGTAAACTAAGTGGTCAAAACAAGGCTCAACATAAGGTAATGGGCTCCAAATGAACAACATAACCCTCCAAGTCAATGGGATGAACCATGAGCAATACTAATTAAAATAGGTTGCTTCAACGGTCCATAGAGATGTGGGTTGGGTTGTCTCGATGATAGTGTCGACATATAATTCAATCATATGGCCAATGCCGATTGATAATAAATAAAATCGAGGTTACATCATTGCCCGGGAGGTCGTTTGACAACAAATTGCCTAACATATATAATTATAGGGAATCAAATGTGTCCTTATTGGTCAACTTTATTCTTGTTTTAAGGATTCCATCTCTCATTCCGTACCATACAAAATACCTTTATAATTATAGGGAATCAAATGTGTCTTTATTGTATGCTTTCCAATTTACATTTTAAAATTTTTGCTGTAATCGTCAAATTAACTCAGAACCTCAATCATTTGATCTCCATATTTACCTACATACTACTGTCTATAAATGATTTGGAAGGGATAATGTGGAAGTATGATGGCATGTTTCAACTTTTCAAGAGGAGATAAGCTAATGAAAAAAAAATCATGATTCTATATTCTTAGAACATGCACAACTTCCACTATCCTGCATTTTTATTATTTGATGTGTCTCCCACTGACATATTACCTCAAGATTCATGTTACTCAGCTATATATGTTTAGTTTATAGTGATTTAGGTAACAATAGCATATTTTGGTTTTATGACATGGTATTCTGTATACATATCTTCATATTTGGGGTATGTACAGCAGCTTTTTGACTTTGGTTCATGCCATGTGTAGCTACCTCAGCAGCAAAACTCATATGATTGTGGACTTTTCTTGCTTCACTAAGTCGAGCTTTTTCTGGAAGAAGTTCCAGTTAATTTTAGCATATATAGCATTACATCGTCCTCCAAGTTTGTAAGCACACTTCTTTGTTTTACATTAGCCGATATGCTTATATTTGTCTTCATAACTCATGAAAAATGACTGCTGATAAATCTATCAGATCTTCAATTAAGAGAAAGTGATAAAGAAGGGTCAAACTTCATTATTTATATTTTTTTCACAGTTCAACATATTTAACACATGCAATGAGGCAATCTCTATAAGGGCATAACTAAAGTCAAGTGATTTCAGTCATTAGTCTATTATTACTCTTGTAGTTCATACCAATTGAAATGAAGAGTTTTGGAGCTTTTAAGTGCTCTGACTCTTTAGGTTGCAAAAGGGTGGTACAGGAAGATTATTTAGTAAAAGTTGCTGCTCATTTTGATATTTTTTTGGTATGTTTTCTGCTTCAGCAGTATGTTGTTAACTTTGTTGATTTGGGAAAGTATGCTATACTTTGATTGCAGAGTGTTAATTGATACTTATTATGCTTTGAATGATCTGAATTCTCTGAGTAAATACTGATTATTGGAGAGTAAATGTTGATGCAGTTTCCAAGAAATATGAAGTTTATTAGTTCAAAAATAAAAGAGCCTCTTAATCATTTATAGGGTCTGTTGTGCCATCCTATGCCCTAACATGAAGCCCATGGTTCCCTTGTGACATCAAGAGCTCTCAGGTTCTTTTTAGTTTCCTCTTCTTTTATTTAGAAATGCTAACATATTTGACCTTCAAAATAGTTGTCATTAGCTTTCAACACCACTATTCTTCAAGCCCAACCTAGTCTCATTAGGGTTTTGACTCTTAAGTCTCGAATTGCTATCTTTCATAGAGTTTACAGAACTCAGAACAGGTCTAATGCCATTCTTTGCTTCTACACTGCTCTAGTCAACTGTCCATTTTTCATCCTTTTGAGCCCCTTCCATCCTAATAGTTTTCTTCGGTTTTCGGCCACAAATTTGAAGTTGATGAGTCTGAAATTTTCTTGTTTCCACTGCTAATCTAGTCAAGTTGATGCGTATCATAGGTATAACCTCTGTTGACACATCTATTGTTCAACTTTTATTTATTGTGAGCTTTCTACTTCCTTTTTTTGTTTATTCTTTTTGTTTAAACCTTTCAAGTCTTCTTTCTTTGGTAATTTCTTTAGATTTTGGTATTCTTGGGGGCTTGATTGAATTTATTTATCCTCTTAAAGTTTACCTGGGTTGTGCCATCAATGTTTAGTATGATTGATGGTTAGCAATTATTTGGACAACCTGGAATTGTCTTGCATGCTATTTGGGAGGATTGGAATGATGTTTTCATCCTCTTCTAGATTTCCTCTTGGGGGAAAAAAAAAAATACATTTTACAGTCAACTCTATATGTCATCTGGCATGGAAAGCACACCTTCACTTAAAAGATCTTTTTTATCTAAATGGTGTTGCAAATAAGGATTTTAAAGACTATTTAGCAAATACAAGACTAATAAATCATAACTTTGGAAGCATACGACTACTATTAAAAATTGGACACAAAGGAGGGAGAGAAAAAAAATGTGTTTATTTACTGCAAGAAATTGGAAATCTCTTTTTCTATTCTTAGTTTCTCTGGTAAGCTAATTACATTTCATAATTTTTTTTATGCATGAGTAACAGTATTCTATGTATTTTCTAGCTTAATGCAGATTGGTTCCCACCTAGTGAAGCTTCCCTCAAACGAGCTCATATGGAGAGATTAATTTATGATCTGCTTGAAAATCATCTTGAAGGGGGTTCTCCATCTTGTGCAAGTTACAAGAATTGTTCCTCTGACATCCCGAGACCACTAGTGAGTCCAGAAATCCAACTGAGTTTCTTTCGAGTGCCAGTCTTTTTAAGAGTTTTAATGGAAGTCTATTTTGTTATCGACCTAGGGAGGGATTTGAGATGATGTCACCGTTGACTTCGTCTTCGAGGAATACGCAATCTGCCAGCTACTCCAGATTGGTTTTAAAGGAGTTTTTGGAGTCAAGATCTGCTTCAGAATCGTTTGTCAATGCCAAGCATCTTGCTCCTGAGCAAGGAGATTTTTTTGGAAAGTTTAAGAGGCCTATTTCGCCAATAGAGGTACTTCAAATTTCATCTCTGTAATCAGTAGTAATCAAAGTGAGAAGTCTTTAGCAATTTCACTTATTTTCTTATTTTTTTCAAATATATATTATCCTCTGTTTTTCCTTTTCAATTTTACACCTCTTTTGTTCATGGATGTACTACTATTTTCTTTTATTCTTTCACATTTTTCTTCTGGTCCCTTTTCTTATAGAAGGGTCTTTGTTTTGTCGGTGCATGTGGATGTGAACGACTTAGAGTTCTCATTGCATTAATCAGGCAAAGCAAAAATCTATTTGGAATCATCAATCACATAATTACAAACTACTTCAAGGGATGAGTGTAGTTTTGACATTAGACCTGAAATATATTCTACAACGGTGTATATTAGAGTGATTTATGTGATGTGATTTATCTTTCCTTGTATAGATTTAGGAGTTTATTTTCTTTCCTTTTTATACCTATTTAATATTGTATAAATCAAAGGCAATATATACTGTAAAGGCATTCAGCTAAAATTGTGTCATGGTACCAGAGCCCTGAAATTCTATTTCTCGGACCTATGGTCGTAGTCTTGTGTCCTCGGTGCCATCTTGTGTGTTCCGTAGTCTTGTGTTCTTGCATTCTGTAGTCAAAATCCTCAATGGTTGAACTTCGTGTTTGTCAGTGGTGTTTGAGTTCTGGTAGTAGCATCATGTTCAATTGGTGGCATTTGCTGTTGGGGTTCACAGTTCAGGTGTCTTTAAGGTAAGGTTCTTGCCCGGACCTCCAATGTGGTCGTCTTACTCTTCTAGTGCGGTGAGCGTGGAGCAATTTCAGTTTGGTCGGAGAAATTCCAGTTTCTCCTGTGTTCTTCGACTCACCTACCAGTCGTAATTGGTTTGTATGTGGGCTGTATTATGTATTTTAGACTATTGACTTGTGCTAAGTTAATTCTTATTGGGCTTATCATTTGAGCTATTTCTTGTTGGGCCTAGTTAATTCTTATTTGGCTTATTGTTATTATTAGTAATTGAATTTGAATCTCTGTTAGACTTTGGTTTTGAGGATACTATTTTTTACTTGGGCTTGAGTTTACGCGGTTTCATTATTTTTGGACTGATTTGTACACGATTTCATCATGACAACTAAGAAACCTGATATTGTCTGCACCGCTTTAGTGGAAAAAACTATTCTTCATGAGTTTTTCACTTTTAGTTGTTGGTTGAAGGCAAAGGGGATCTGCAGAGACATATTGATGGAAGCATTCCTCCTGATCAAGAGAGGGACAAAGAAAAGTACCTTGCTTGGAAAACTAAGGATTCGTAGACTTTAGCCTTGATCATTAGATTAGCTAATGCTCAAATTGTTCTAAATCTCAAGCTTTACAAGTCTACTTGTGCTATATGGGAGTTTCTTAAAGAAAATATACACTCAAAGCAACAATGCTCGATGACTTCAGTTGGAATTTGAATTGGCAAACTTTTCTTAGGACTTTCACTCCGTTAAAGAATTTAATTTTGGTTTCTGTACTTTGGTTTCATTCGACGATTTGGAGGTTGTACAAGCTGTGCAATTTCTCATGAAATTATGACATGAATTTGAATCTATCCGATCCAGTCTTATGAATCGCATATATCTTCCAATGTTTGATAGTTGTTTGGGTGAGTTACTAAGAGAGAAATAGCAATTTATCACTCATGCCTCTCTAAAGCAACAACAGAATCAAGGGAAATCTAGATCTCAAGATATGTCTAGTGTGCAGTGTTACAGATGTAAGGTTTTAGACACATGGCTCTTTCCTAAAAAGGTATGCAATTAGTGCAAGAAGACTAGACATGTAATTAAGGAGTACCCTATATGCCCTCCATACAAGACTAGAGTGGGTCATATTGTTGCTGCTACTTTAGCCTCCAGTTCTGCTTTGTCGGTTGCTACTACTCAGTTCTACTTTGTCCTATCCAAAACTATATCACTCTTGAGAAATGGTTATTTCTGCTTTGTGTGCCTTAGGTGTCTCGTGTAATTCCTCAGCTTCTTCTTCTTAGTTATTAGACTCAGGTGCCTCTAATAATATGAATTGTGATCCTCTGTTACTTAGTAATCTTAGACCATATACTGGACATCTCAATATACAAACTGCCGATGGGTAATACTCTTCTTATCTCAGGATTGATTTATCCACTGATCTTGTATCTATTGGTCAACTTGTTGATAAATTGTGCCCTTTTCCTCTTTTGGTTGTCATGTGCAGGATCAAATGTCCGGAGAACGATCATAAGGGTGCCTCTAGTCATATGACTTATGATCCTTTGTTACTTAGTAATCTTAGACCATATACTGGACATCTAAATATACAAACTGTCGATGGGTAACACTCTTCCTATCTCAGCATTGAGTGATCTATCACCAGATTTATCGAATGTTTTAGTGTCATCTAGTTTATCCACTAATCTTGTATCTATTGGTCAACTTGTTGATAACAACTGCACTGTGCCCTTTTCCTCTTTTGGTTGTCATGTGCATGATCAAATGTCCGGGAGAACGATCATAAGGGGCCTAGGGAGGGACATCTCATTCCTATTTCGCCAAAGCTTATTTCATATTTTCCTATTGTTTGTAATTTTGCTACTTTTGATATTTTTATTGGCATAAGAAATTGGGACATTCCAATCCTAATATATTACAACATTTGTTAAACTCTAGTTTGCTTGGTAACAAGAATTCTGCTTCGGTTCCATCTCTCTCTTGATTGTGCTTTATGTAAACTTGCTAAGAATAAGGTTTTGCCATTCCCTTCTCATTGTTTCCATGCTTCACATATTTTTTATATTGTTCATAGTGATGTCTGGGGTATTGCACCTATAGTATCTCATGCTCATTATAAGTATTTTGTTACTTTTATTGATGATTATAGTCGTTGTACATATGTTTATTTTCTCAATGCAAAGAGTGGAGTTTCTCTACCTTTTAGGCTTTTATTACTCACATTAAAAACCAATTTTCATCCTCAATATATTATGATCTGATTTGAGAGGCGAATGTATGCCTAATGTGTTTGAATCCTTCTTACAAACCAAATGCATTATTTCTCAACAATCTTGTCCTTTTAGTCAATAGAACGGGGTGGAAGAATGCAAAAATCGCCACCTTCTAGACATGGTTAGAGCATTGCTAATTGTCTTTTGTTCCCTTTAATTTTTTGTATGAAGCATTATCAACCGCTGTTCATATCATAAATCAATTGCCTTCTCTCACTCTCGATAATGTTTCTCCATTTTATAAGCTCTTTGGTCATTATCCCTCATATTCCCATCTAAATCCCTTTGGCTATGTTTGTTTTTTCATTTACTACAACATAAAAGGACAAAACTTATATCCCAATCTGTCAAGTGTGCATTTCCACAATATGGTACGACTTAGAAAGGCTATGTTTGTTATGATCCTTAGACACATCGTATCAGGATTACTCGTAATGTCATTTTCTTTAAAAACAATCTTTCTTCACTTCTGAAATTGTTGTTTCCCTTGTGTTCTCTTTCTTAATTGATTTCTCTACAGAATTCGCTCAGTCCAAGTTGGGTCTAGTTTACACTCGTTGGCATACTGCACAAACCCAACACTCGCGGGGCCACTCCCCGAACAGGGGTGGGATTACTTGCTTTATCAGGTATTTGGGTCGAGGACGGGGCGGTTACGGGTAACAAGGGCCCCAGTCCACCCCTTTTAATTTTTTTTGAATAATTCAATATTTTAAATGGAAAAACTCCACGAAATTTTATTAGTTCTAATAGAAGATGGCAACTAAGATTATCTAAGGAATATAACAAACAATAAAAGCCCTTAGTTTATCAAATATATTTAAATAACTTAACTTTTAAAAATAAGTTAATTAATTAAAAATTAATAAATATATTATTGTTTCATTTTAATAGATGGGGGGCAATAAAATGAATTATCAAAAGCTAAAAAATAAAATATTGAACAGGGCAAGGATCTTGCCCCACCCCACCTTAAGTGGGTAAAAGGTACGGTTACAGGGCGGGAAATTATCCAGTGGGGTTGGACAGGTTGGGGATGGGGAAGATTGCCATCCCTAGTAACAGTCACTGTTCCCAAGCTTCCTTATCAGAAGACTGTCTCCTTAAGCCTATTTGATCTTCCATCACGACATCAGATTCTTCACCAGATGATCTCTGCTTCCTATCATTTTTCTTCACAGCTCTTGTGATTCTTCGACCTCCAGGTAGGTATGGTTTTTCTTTCCATAGGTCTATGTCTGGTACTTTTAACTCAGTTTTCATCCTGACCTCTTATAGACAGACTATGGAACAAGCGTGTTGGCAACAGGCAATGAATGCAGAATTTAAGACTCTTGAAGCTGACGAATCCTCGAATGTTGTACCATGTCCCTTGACTGTGAAACCCGTTGGGAGTGAATGAGTATGTTCGGTCAAACTTCGTTCTTAAGGTTCTATTGAGTGCTATAAAGCTTGGTTGGTTGCCTTGGGTAACCTTCAAGAATATGGAATTAAGTATGACCACCGTTTGCTTGTTGTTATCGCTGGTAGCTTCTCAATCTTAATCTTTATATCGATGAATGTAAAGAATGCGTTCTTACATAGAGATCTCAAGGAAGACATTCATATGAAACTTCTATCTGATATGCTGCCTCTTCCACCAGTTGACTCCGTATGTAAATTAAAACGCTCTTTGTATGGTCTTAAGCAGGCCCCTCGAGCTTGGTTTGATAAGTTTTGCTTCACTCTTTTGGATTTCTCCTATACTCGGAGTCAATAAGACACACCTCTGTTATTTCACAAAGTACTACTGGCATCATTTTTTGTTGGTATATATGAATGATATTATTATCTCTGGATCTGATCACAATCTTATTGAGAAGCTTCAGCAACATTTTCACTCAATTTTTCATATTAAAGATCTTAGTCACCTCACTTATTTCCTTAGCTTAGAGGTTCATACTATGCCGCATGATATCTTCTTGAATCAACATAAGTATATTCAAAATTTGATTAGGTTAGATGATCTATCTAAAACCTCCTGAGTTGATACTCCGTTGAAGCTTAATAATGAATATCAAAAAAGATGAAGGTAATACTTCCAAATTCTACTCTATATCGGAAATTGGTGGATAGTCTCATCTATCTCACCGTTATACATCTGAATATTTCCTTTGCGATTCATACTGTCCAAATATTTCCTTTGCGATTTCAAAATCATCGCTCCTCCCCATCTTCGCACTATTCAACAGGCCACAGATATTTTCTCATCAGCAAATTGATGCTTCTGAACTCCCTAACATTAATTTGAGAGGAGTATCAGTGGCGTGATTTATGTGATGTGATTTATCTTTCCTTGTATAGATTTAGGAATTTATTTTCTTTCCTTTTTATACCTATGTAATATTATGTAAATCAAAGGCAATACATACGGTGAAGCATTCGGCCAAATATATGTCAGTGTAGAGAATTTATAAACATTTTACTTGGGAAATATTGAATCCGAAATTGTTGGATATGAAAAAACAAGAGATTAAATATACAGACGTTAAAATTGTTTATGGATGTAAGCTGATTCTTAATATTTCTGTTTTTTGCTTTCTAGTAATATTTTTCTTGAGTTAAGCACTTGGGTGCTAGATGTCCTTACCATCACTTCGAGCGTTGTTTTTTTAAGCAGCATGGACAAAAGATTAAACCTATATGCCTAGAATGAATATCCAGAAGGCTTTGACCCCTCTGGTCTAAATAATTAATTTCAAAAGTTATCAGTGAATTTAATTTTAACAAAGATATATGGACCAAACTACTTAGGAACACGTTAAACTTCCCTCCTCCCTGGGCCACAGAAAAAAAAAAAAAAAAAAAAAAAAAAAAAAAAAAAAAACACTGACATGGACACTCGCACTCGCACTCTGACATGAGAAATAGAGAGAGTTTAGTATTAGAACTCGAGTGCATTGGTTTTTTCTGATATAATTTCTGACATCCTTACCTGAAATACAAGTGCTGAACTCAAGTGTCCACTATCTACTCAGTAATTCTACACAAAATGACTTATCCTAGTCCACAAGTATTGCTACATGAATTATCAATGCATTAAAGAACAGAAGTGGAGCAAACAAGCCAGGGCATTTAATGACACAGACACTGTTTCCAGGTCAGGTACCTTTCTAACACCTAGAAATACTAATAATGAATTCAAAACAGGGCCTTTTAGTCCTCCATTTTCAACTTTTTAAATTTACTCAAAATGAGTTCTAGCAGTCCATTCTCATTGTTCTATGCAAATTATCAACGGGGAAAAGAAATTGTAGTGGGGGAAGGGATCCAGGAATTTTTCATAAATCTAACCTGTTTCTTTAAAAGATGTTGCATTTGACGTTTCATTCCTTCAAGGTGCATCTATGTAATGTTATTTCAGTGCTCTAATTTTTACTGATGGTGAGTTTCTGTTTCTTGAGTGAAGCATATTTATCATATCCATACTACTGATCAAGGGAGAACAGCTTACTCTCTCCTTCTGATCTCTTCAGCTAATATATTTTTATCAGCTAATATCTATGACAATACAAATTGTTATCTTCCAACCATCATTGCAGAAATTGGGATTCAACTCTCTTCCGAACCACTTCTCCATAGAAGTCACATACAACCTATGAATCAAGGTTTTGACAATTAATGTTTGCTTTGCAGGGTCATTAACTTCTGAAAATCTTTTATGGTTTGGTTTACGTAGACGTGGTTATTCATTTTTATGTGTTTTTAGAGTTCCTTTCTCACGACCCTCTTTAAGTTTTTGTTTTGTTCACATTTTCTTTTTCTCACCAAGAGTACTAAGCCTCGATGGTGACGTGGAGAAGGGCTTGGCATCTGTCTTTTGGACAGATTCTTTTCTCACCACCTCCATTACTTCAATATTCTTCATTACATTTTATAATCTATGAATTGCCTGCCCTGGAAACTCTTCAAGGATAGGAAAAATTTCGGAGGGGCATCTACACTTTTTTTCCCCACAGTTGACTTGTATATAATTAGGAAAATTCTGGTTGTGATTTCAAAACTTATGATATTTTGCTTTTTAACGGAACAAATGAATGTGTGTGTGAGAGAGAGAGAGGGAATTGCACTCAACTTCCATTTAAATATGCGATGGTAGCTTATCACATTTGGACTTGCTGAACTGTTTCGGATATTTACATCTAGCTTTTTTTGGACAGGAAGAGGTGGAAACTAGCATGCACTTTGCTTGTACAACATCAACAAGCACTGCCTTCCAGCATCTAGATGGAATCAGACCAGAAACTTCTGTATTTCCTTATCCATCTACAGATTTTGAACTGGAGTCTTCTGTTCACCAAGATGCATTCAAGGATACCAACACATCTCCAGTAACATCAATTTATGATTCTGATGATTCATCTGAAGTGAAGGTGGTTAAAAAATGTCAGGTTGTGGAAATCAGCTTCGATGATGAACTAGATAATCCAAGATATACATCAGCTGAAAATATAGACTGCTTGACAGGCTGCCTTGCCTCTGTTCCAGGACAAATGCAATATGCTGGAGAATCTCACACTCCTGGTCAGGCAAGTGACCACTACTTTGAGGCATATCCAATCACCACTTTCCAAAAGAGTTTAACGGAATTTTATCATCAAGAAAATGAGTTGCTAAGTTACAGGGGCATTCATCATAAGTGCTTGAATGATTGTCCTAAGCCTGATGCTGGTAAAATGCTGGAGGTTCCAGATTCTGAATGCCCCACTCGAATGCTTGAACCTGCTGATAATGCAGATCTTTTTGATACTATCAAAGAAATTACATGCAGCAGGATGGAATTGAATCTGTATCAGAACTAGATTGCCCAAAAAGGATGAAGCTCACAACCTCCTCGTGCAAGGAAATAACTTACAACTAACCAAACAAGGAAATATGCATTCTTCCCCTTTGAGAATCAATTGTGAATACGTTTGATGATTTTTACTGTAAAAAACCTCTACTCTCTATTCAGAATGGTAGTTGCAAATAATTGGGACTACCATGTGTATTTGAAAGAGAATTTTTCTGGGTTCGAGTTCTGCAAACCAGTTGATTGGGAGTGAGTTAAATTTCATTTTCTTCTAGTAGAATCAGGCCAATGTTTGCCATGGGCCGTCACATAAAATTATGGGAGTTAGTTCTTTTTTCTTTTTTTTTATTAGTCCAATATTTTATTGATCACAGATAATACACGGAAATGTATTATCAATTTATACAACAAAGAAACAACATAAAGTTGACAATCCGTCTATAAGAGTAGTAGTCGGAGAATTAAATCAATTATAAAAGGTCAAATAAAATTATTCTTTGATATACTTTGTAGTCCTCGAATGATCGTCAAAACAGCTGCTCCGCTTCTCTCCCTCCACACACACCAGACAATGCACTCTGGAATGAGGTCCCAAACAAGCTTGCTATTCTTATTACGAAATTTTCTCCTCCATACTTTCAATACATTCACCATACACTACAGGAAAACACAAACCATGTGTTGAAAAGATAAAATATCGATCCATAGGAACGAGCAATGTCACAATGAAGGAACAAATGGTCCATCGTCTCCCCATTCCTCCTACACATATAACACCACTCTGTAACATAAAAGTCTCCTTATTCGGGGGTTATCTATCGTTAACACCTATCCCTTCACAACCGTCCATAGTAAAAATGCCATCTAAGGGGGCATTTTACATTTCTATATATATATTCAGAATGCAAACTTTGGTCAT